GGGGGGGCGGTTCATTTAAATAGGAAAAAAAAACATCATCGGTCCCCCTAAACCAAGTGAGCAGAGATGCAAACCAGCGGGCAGGATGTGCCGGCTTTGAAGACGGCGAGAACACTTTTCGCCCAAAACGATGCTAAAATTCAGAGAGCCTGAAGAAAAGACAGGAAAAGAAAAAAGAAAAGATTTACAATCTCGTCTAGAGTCTGGAGCAATCTCCTCTGATGGACCCACCGGGAGCTGCACCTTTGAATGGGGGTGTCTTAAAAAAACAGAAAACAAAGACAGCAAAAGGCAGCCTTTCATTTCTGAGCTCAGGAAAAGCAAAGGAAGAGTGAGCAGAATGAAAAGGAGCACGCAAAGGTGGGGCGGGGGGGGGGCTGCGAGGTGGGCTGGGGTGTGAGGCAGGTGAGAGGGTGGGGGTGATCGGGAATGAGGGGCGATGCGCTTTCTTTGGGGGTATCTGCGAGCACGGATAACGAGACAGACTCCTGTCTCAAACCCAACCCGCTAATAATAGAACCTTGCTGCTCTTTGTGATTAATAGGACCAACGCGGACCTCCTTGACGCCCTGTGGATGGGGTCTTCCTGGTTCGTACCTCTCCCACCCCCCGCTATCCGTTTACAGACATTACTCCCCGAAGGACGCCTACGGCGCTGCCATATCGCGTTACGGGACGAAAGGTCAAGCAGCGAGCCGCTGATTGGTTAAGGCGGGCTAGGTTAGTCGCCAGGAGAGCTCGTCATCTTGGATTATTTCACGGCCGTGGCGCTCAGACAGACGGGCAGATACCAGGTGACACCTGCATGAATGGGGACCTTGTGGCGTGTGATGGTTTGGTGCCCCCTGGAGGTCAATGACTTCAATTCAGTTCATGTTTACATAGCCGCTTTCATAATAGAGCTACCCCAAGACGCTTGATAAGAGTATGTGGCAATACATTATTATTACGTCATTTATACAGAATACAGATCAATTGTATGCCTTGATGTGTATTGAGCGTGTATGTTGTACCATAAAGGTTTGAGGCTGAGTGCAGAATGCAAAATGCCAAACGCCTGTTCTTAACCTCTGTCCAGATCAGTGATCACACGTGTCACCAGCCTTGTTTCCTTATACTATAACAGACTGTCATAATCCCTTAATTCCTTAGACTACGCGTCATAAATGATGGACCTCAAACATTTCACACGTGCCGGTACACAGGAGCTCTCCATGCTAGACATGCCAGAGTTCCGGGGGGCGGGGCTTTCTTACCATGGAGTGACATGTGATCCGGCACATTGTGTCATGTGATCTGGCACATTGTGTCATGTGATCTGGCACATTGTGTCTAGACAGAAGGAGCTACAAAACAAAATGGAAAAGGTCACATAGGTACAGCTCCAGAATATAAAAAGAACTCCAACGAAAAGAGTCACTGAAAGGTCATTAAAACACATTTACTCTGCCCAGTAACATATGTGTGTATGTGTGTGGGGGGGTCTTTTATTCTCTCTGTCACATACACACATATTCAGATGGAGCCTCTTTTCAAGGCCTCAGACAGATCGATGGAGGCAACTGTAACTTCCAGTCTCCAAACACAGGTGTTTCTCTTGAATGAGGAGAAACGTTTCAAGTTACCTTTGTACCAGTTGGGGGGTGGTGTGGTGTGGGGGGGGGATGGGATACAAATTCTGAGGCTCGCAAGACTGGGTGCTCTTTCCAATGACTCCTATTCAGGACATTAATCCAAACGGGCGTCCTGACAACAGATTAACAGGCCAAAAACAGCGTGACACCCCACAGGAGGTCAGAGGTCATGACCGCACTGCTTCCCTCTCCAGACAACTGACAGCTAAAAGGATATGTGGCTAAGCTATGCAGAGGGGGGGGGGGGCACACTGCCAATGCAGGTCATGCCATGCTTGGATGGCAACGATTTGTCCCTCAGGCCAGCAGGTGGCGTAGTGACTAAGGACCCTTGTTCAGGAAAAGTAGGAACTTGTATGCTCCAAAGTTGCTCCCAATGTCTGTCCAGTCATTCAATTAAAGGAGAGAGAGAGCAAGTGGAGAGCAAGTAAGGCTGAATTGTCTAAGGCAGGAAATTTGATGTATGGTCCAGCTGCTTTGGCTGCTAATAGTTTTATTGGTCCATGTTTCTGGTTAAATATTATTGTGTATAATTATTTGTGTATGTGTGTGTACAGGGCACTAGTCCTACGTCCCAAATTTCAAATTGCTGCATTGATAGCCTCAGGGAGAAGAAAGGGAAATGGTGAGAGAGATGAGTGCTCTCTGGGAATCGGTCTTGGCGGCTCCTGTGGATCGAAAGGTCAGAGAGAGCGACACCGGAGCTGAGTGACTAGTAGGTGTCTTCAGCAGAGGTCGACAGCCCAAGCATTGCGGGGCAGGACAGCCGGCCTGCTCCGAACTCCCAGGCAAAGAAGAGACAGAGGGACCTGGGCGACAGAGAGACCCCGACAGGAGCAGACTTACTAGCGCCTGGCCCAGTCTAGTTTGTGACGATTCCTATGCAGTTAACTGTTGTACCACATGGCTGCTGTATGAGTGAGTCAGATAAGGAGCTTTTTCTGGAGCCAGACAGAGTGTGTCTGAGCTGAGCAAGGGCCCCCCGGTGGCTGAAACTGGCACTGATCCACTAAAGGAAAGAGGGACCGATCAGCCCGGGTATCTTAGTCGGCTGCTACAAGCTGGTCTCTCTGGCATGTGTGAGGTATCAGGAGCCGGCAGTAACAGCCAAGCCATACCTCAGATCAGTGTTTAAGTTCTCCTTGTTGTGGGGGGGGGGGAGGAGGCAGGTAAGACCAGCCTCAGCCGATTCCTGAGACTGCAGAATAAAATGACTCACAGAGCTGACAACATAACCAGCCTCGAGGCAAATGTTAAGCAAAAAACAAAAATAAATATAAAAATAAATGTAACTCGACACCGATCTGGCCGACTGGCTGAAGATGGTGTTTGAAGAAAGCCCAAGGAGCCCACCCGCACACATGGGGGGCCCGGGCAGCCCGTCAACAAGCCGACAGCCCCCCAGCGCCTGTCCGGCCCTGTCAGCGAGCGAGCCAACGAGCGCTCCGAGGCTCTGTGAGCTCCCAGCTGAGAGCCACTTCCAGATAAACTCCCGTCTGGAGTGTGTTATTGGAAATTCTCTGGATGTTTAACTGAAGGGGGAAAAAAACAGACAGTCCCACTGGAACAAACGGACTTTAGGACGCGCAGCCCCCCCTCTCCAGGTCACACGCTGCCCTATGTGGCGCTAATAGGAATGACAGCAACCAGATGCAGTCAGCTTGGCCCTTCACCCCTTTGTGGTCAAATTAGGGCAGCTGGGTTGGTTTAACAGAGTGTGGTGTGAGACAGAAGATCCAGGATTCTAATCATGTGGGGGATCGTACTCTGGGTGGGGCAGTGAAGTCAGCAGGACTTCAGCTTCAATAGCCACTGGTAAACGCAACCAGTTAGCGATCTGTTCTTCGGTACATTTACCCGCCCCCCCCCCCGCCCCCAGACTCTGAGACACGGGGACACCAGCCCTGCTCGCGTTCAGTGGCGAAGAGGATTCGAATTCAAAACAAAACGGGGGGAATGTTTAGTTTAAAAAATACCACTCCCGCTGAATGGCAACCCTCGCCGAAAAGGGGAAGCTGCCTGTCGGAGACGAGTACCCACCCCCCCCCCCCACTCTGGCGGCTTATCCCGGCTCCTCGCGCTGGTTTTCCCGGCACTGTCGGAGACGGCAGCATCGGCAAACAGGCAGCTTTTAATTAATGGTAGGAAAATATCCATCTCCACTTATTTTCATTACTGAATGAGAAACAGGGACACTTATGCCCAAATACTTTTCGGCAAACTTTCATCCTCGACCCTGCTATATTTTAGAAAATAAATGGACAAAAGACTACGTATGTGAGTATACACAGAGGTTATTCATGATGGTCTGCTGGCCAACAGAGTCTGATTCCTAAAAAAATACACCCACTAAAACGGGCAAAATGGTAAATTTATGTAATAGCGTGGTATGAATAGTCATCTATTCTAAATAAAATCCATCGTTTATCCATTCATCCATCCATCAATCACTTATCCAGTACAGGAACAAAGGGAGACTATCCCAGGCATCTTAGGGCAGAAGGCAGGGAAACGCGCTGGATGAGATGCCAGACCATTGCAGGACACATACATGCACTGACACACACCACAGGCAATTTAGAAACACAAACTGAAGCATAAACATGTCTTTGGACTGCGGGAGGAAGCCAGAATACTCAGAGCAGACCTGTGTGACATGGGAGGAGCATGCAAGCTCCACATGCAGAGCCGTAGGTGGGATTCCTACCTCAGAGTCTCCGTCCAAACTCTGATAACAGACGGAAACCTTAAGAAGATACCAGGGATGGCCATGCATCACTCACTGAAATGACCTTTGACCCTTAACCTCTGGGAAGAGCCCAAGCCCCTGGGGACGAGCAGCAGAGCTGTGATGTCTGGGGTCTTCTCAGGAACGTCTGTGGGGAGGGAGCGTATTGACCTGGCAGAGGGCAACACTGTGGTGAAAGGGGGGTAATCGACAGACGGCCACACAGTCATCGGCCACAGCATCTGGCCTGCGAGGTGGGAGGGGTCCATGCTGTGCCTATACCCTGTCAGCACCTACTGCCCCCCCCCCCAATCCTCAAGGTTCTGGCTGCTCTCTCTCGGGTTTGAACCCCCGGATCTGCAGCATGCCAGGGTATCGATGCGGGCAATTTACTGCTAGCACAGTAATAAAGAGCCACTGTATCCAGCTGAGGTCTGACACCAAGGGCTCAGGAAGAGCCGTCTTCATTCAAGCCTCCAGCGCAAACGTCCACGGCAGCCACATGCACCTCTGACGACATGCTCCTCCATCACCATGCATGTCCTGTAATGCTCTCTCTCTCTCCTCGGTCTGCTCACCGAGAAACGTCAGCGGCAGGAAAAGTGCGACACAAAGTCTACAATTTCTTGTTAGGATGAAGACATTTCCCGTAACATGGAGGGTCTGTATTTCGGCATTTTAAGGGTGATCAGAGTGAAACGAGACGCTACTGTGGCGTTTGGGCAAGGGGGGGGGGTGCCAGGTTGACCTGCAAAAACGTGAAGCTTTCACGTGTGACAACAATCTCACCTGCGAAAATGCGCAGGCGGTTCTGGAGTGGCGGGGGCCCCATCCCCGAGACGTCACCGCACTCGTCCTCGTCGTCGCAGTCACCGCTTTCCGACATCCCTCCGTCATCCTCCCGGCCACGCGTCTCCCCTCCCTGCTCTGCATCGCCACCTGCTGGCTTCCAACGCCTCACCGGCCCAGTCACCTGCCGCAGTAGCTGAGAGGAATGGAGGACAAATCCTGTAATAATCTCATTTATTCCTTCCACTGGGTCTGTGCATTCCCCGCAGCATCATTTACAAACACAACTATGAAAAGCCTATTCATTATGTAACATCATATTAACTACCTGGGTGGTTGTTTGTTTCTGAATGTCCCCGGAATACAAAAGAAACTGCAGTGCAGGCACTGCGAACCCCAGCCGTTACCCTGAAGACAAGCCTCCTCAGAACATACTGCGTGATGCTGGTGATGCTGAGATTAAAGTGCTACGAAAAGGCTGCATGTAGTAAGGATGATAGCGAAAAGCTCACTGGGAACAAACGAAACTGCCAAGCACCAGCAAACAAACGGGGAAATGTTTTGATAAATATAGAGTAAATGGTCTGGTGTTGAGACCCACAACAGTGCATTTACATGCGTCTAACAGACACTTTCATTCAACGCAACGTATATTTTTTCGTAGAAAGCAGAGTAAAATAATCCCTGGAATAACTGGGGGTTAAGGGTCTCGCTCAAGGGCCCAACAGCGAAATGTCTCTGCCGACTCTAGGATTTGAACTGGCGACCATCTGATCACAGGCTCAGTATTGTAATCCACTGAACCATACACTGCCCCCTACGGAAAATACAAAGAATAACATCTCAATACAACAGATTCTGTGAGCGTTCCCCATTACCTCATCGTAAAGACGGGGACCATCGTGGTCAGGCGTCCAGCATCGAACCTAAAGAGCACAACATTTTTGCTCAAACCTGGCTTTGCATAAACACAGACAGGGCGGGGGGGACACAGGACCGGCCCTTCGGAACTGCACCGGCGAGACCATAACCCCCCAAGCTCTGCAATTAACAGACCACTTCAGAAGAGTGACCCCCAAACCGGGGGCCCGCCAGTCTCCACACTGGGAAACGGGTGGAGCGGAACTGAACGGCGGCCAGTGGATTCAGAGCTGCCTTTAATTTGCTGCAATGTGCAGCTCGGGAAGGAAGAAGGGGCGAAACTGGACTGGCTGGGCATCTAGGAAGGGAACCAGACTTCTGCAAATGAGTCTGTAAGCTGTATGGCTGTGAGCTAGTCTATACAGTATCATGCAAAACTCTTAGGCAGTCAAAGGAAATGTTTACCACTATTTATCTGAGTATTTGATGAGAAAAACACAATTGCAAATTAGACCATATGTAAATTAATAGTAACGCAATAAAAAACTAACAAAACACCAAAAAGTTATTGATATCTTGTTGGATGGCTAGACAAACACCGCTTCTGTTCCCAAATCTCTCCTCAGGGGCATCGCAGCCATTCCATGCATTTATTAAATTTCACCACCAGCTCACTTAATCTATTAATTAAATTTGTTAAAAATGTCAAGGAGGTATAGATCAACCATATCAGGTGTGCCAGGGGTTTTGAAAGGGTTAAGCTGATATATTTTGACTGACTTATTATTGTAGTTTTACACCAACATGAAAATCACTTAAGTATCATTTTCTTTGAATGCCTAAAACCTGTCCGTGCACGGACACGGCAAGACTGTGAGAAAAGATGCATTTTGATCAGTGTCCGTCAGAATTCAGTTCTGCTATATATTTATCAACAAAACGCAGGATGGTGAGCTCAGCTGAGAGCAGACCTGAGTGCAACTGCTGCTGGCTGTTTTACAGGCTCTGTGTAGGACACCTATAACAGGGGTCCTTATCAAACTCCAGTCTGCCAGGTACAATCCTGCCCACACTCAGCTCCTTTCATCTTTCCACACCCCCCCAATCTATGCTTGGTGTGTGCTGTCATTCCTTCGACTGTTCGGTTGTTTGTTGAGGGGAGAGGAAATTGAGTTCAGATGGTGTCCCAAAAAGAAAAAAGAAAAGAAACCCAAACTTCACAAGCGAGAATAAAGAGATGGGCGGGCCCACTAATCTGGCGTATTTGCTGGTCTTCGGAGTGTCTGAAAACTGGCCCCATATTAATATCTGAGCTAATAAACACATCTGGTCGCCATTTTGGGAAAGTGCTTATTTAGTGCAGTCATGGAAAAAAACAGATTGGCATCATAAGGTAACATTCTGCGGGATTGTTTGGCCGCAGAGGCGACCATGAATCCCGTCAGGCTAAAGGTGGGGGAGCGGCAAGCGTATCATTAAAGTGAGTCTTAAATGGCGCCCCCTAGTGAGCCAAAGCTGCCTCTAACTTTCAGCTTCGGGATGAACTATTGAAGCGTCTGTTTTATAAAAAGAGGTGAAGCAGGTCGTGCCAGGAGCCCTTCGTGTTTTTATCTGCCTGGCAACGAGCACGAGATGCCAGAAAGGAGGTAGGGGGGGGGGCACTTGTAAACAAAGGCTGAGAGTGGTCGTAAACATCACCGGGGAGAAAAAGGGGGGGGGGGGGGTCAGCCGCCCTATCACACTGGCCCATAAAGGCGCCCCCTGCTGTCTTATTTTGAAGGTCATCAGAATCTGAAGGCCTCAGCCAGCCTTGCACAGACAACATCCCATAACATCGGAGTTTTTGCCCTGCTTTTCCATGCCTCCCCCTTTGGTTGGATTCCTCTGACCTGTTTCGTTCTCCTAGCTTTGCGAAATCCTCTTTGGGGAGGTCTGACGGAGTCTCTGGCCGGACTCTGCCGATTGTTTACATGAGGTTTTGCCTGTCAACCTAGCAGAGCGTGTGTGTGTGCGTGTGTTAGCGTACATGTGAATGTCATGGCCAAGTGTGTCTCTGTGTGTCGGAGCGTGTGTGTGTGTGGGTTTGAGCTCCAGGACTGTACTGGTATCTGGTCCCCACAATGTATAATATACATGACCACACACCTACACACGCACTCGCAAACACACGCCCCGGAGGAGGGTCCGTGTCAGTGGCGCCGAGGCATGCGTGTCTCACAGGGTACGCACACACGCGATCACTTCCTACCTATAATCCCCAGCATTTCTGCAGCACAAAGCACAAGCAAATAAATCTCCGCTACATAAACATGGCGCCATGTGTCTGAGCTTCTCGATGTTTTTAATTTGAGATTTGAGTCTTTTCTTTGTGACGGAAATCATGCCTTTCCTGCAGGAAAGATTCCATCGAGGCTTAAACGAAACACGACCAAAACACGAATCGCTTGAACGAAACACGCAGAGATGGAGGTCGTGGATCCGTGGCGGAAACGCCGCAGCTGTGCATGGCGACGGTCAGACGCAAGAGTAAACACAGGGGAGGGGGGCGGCTTGCTGGAAGCGGTGAACTGCTTCAGCTTAATCACATCCCAATCTGAAACACGCTCAGTGAACGGGGCTGTTTCTCTGGTTTACGTCTCCGCCAGCTGGGGCACAGATCTGAGGGTCCACCTTGATCGTCTGCTCATTCTGTGGCTGACTGCTTTCACTCAGACTCTAAGAGCTGCTTATATAACAGGTCATGGGGTGTCACTGCTGCCAGCTCATTATCGCCCCCTAGTGGACAGAGCATCCCATCCTGGGTGTTCCCCTGCCTTTTGCCCTGTTCTGTTTGGAATAGGCGCCAAGTAACCCTGTTCTGGAAAAGCAGTTGGGAGATGAAAGGCAGGATGGACAACTATGCCAATAACATTATTATTTACATTAATTTGTTTCCGTATTTATATGTTTTTACATAGCTTGCATTTTTATACTCCACAGATTTGTTCATTCGCACATTTTTACTACAGCGAGTCCTCGAGCACCATTCTACGAATCCTCTTGGCCGCAGCGAGCGGAAAGCCCCCTTCGAAGGTAAGCCCCCAGAGCGACAGACAGGGACTCAAAATGGGCTAATAAAATGAGGGTCACATGACCCTCGCAGGAAGACAGGTCTATGAGCTAGAAAAGACTGTAAACAGGAAATGTGACCTCTGACCTCCTGCAAGAGATTTCCTATTGGCCGGACTGTGTCATGTGAACAACCGTGCCCCCACCCCAGTCCTGCTGGGATGGTAGCCATGGGGGAGGGGGTTGTCTGACCCTCATGCCACTCTCATCACCTTCCACAATATTATTAACCATCTGCCCAGGCCTGAAGGTCCTGTCAGCCAGCATGAGGAAGAGCGAAAATACTAACCAGAGACAGGAAATGGTAAGATCACAGGAGGACAGAAAAATGAGTTTTATTACAGCTCATTTGTTATTGATATCGGAACACGCGCCGCCACGCAGTTGGTGCTCAGGCATGTATCACCGAGCTCCTTCCCACAACGAGGGATGATCCATCACACCACCATCAGGATGGCTGCAGCCACGCATCGCACACAGACGTGTTCGGCGGGCACGGAGCGGGGGGCTGCCAGGGGGCCGGCACGCGCTGGAACGTATGGGGAAGCGTACGTACATCTGGTTTACTTTTCAACCTGAATTCCTTTCCCACCTGCAGGACTTTCCCCAAGTCCTGGATTTAATTAGGACAGGAAGCTTTGGGGGATTGTTGGGAGGGGTCCTGTGGGGGTTTGTGGTGGGGAGGGGGAACTGGTACTGGGTTCTGTCATACACAGTTAAACACAGACGTGGGGGGGTGGCAACAAACTGAGTTACACGAGCCCCCCCCCCGTCTTTCTTTTCTCCACTTATCCGTCTTTCTCCTAGTCTCTGTATATAAACCCATGGCTGTAACAGCCTCTATCCACAGGTGTGGAGAAAAATGCCAATAGGTCACTAACAGACTCGCTTTCACAGCCTGGAGTAACCAGGCACACTGACATTCCAGAGAACACAAACAACACTGGCACTGACCCTAAGAAGAACCGTCCAAACTAATCAGCCGGCGTTCCAAATCAATGACCAAGGTTCCAAATCAATGACCAAAGTTCCAAATCAGCCCTCAAGGTTCCAAATCACTGCCCTTAGTTCAAAGTCACAACGGTTCGCTTGACATCACTGAATGTAAAAACAAATGCAAGCGACCACTGAGGGAATAATCATACGCAAAACGATACCCAGGCTGACAGCCTGGTCATTTGGCTGGTGGCGTGACAACCCTGTGAATGAACACAGGGGAGGGCAAAGGGCTCAGACGCTCCGTAAAAACAGAAAACGAGGTCTCAAAAAACTGCTATTTGCTCTTATGTTTCATCTGTCGCAAAAGAATGCAAGTGTATATTTTAAACAAACAAATCCACGAATATGAACAAGTTAGAGAGAACATGACAGCAGTCTTATTTTACACCAGATGTTTCATCTATATGAATCTTCCTCACATGTGTCAGTAGCCGGGTGCTTTTAAAAGACATTTTTTTTTGCAATTGCTTATCGTCACTTCTCCCGTTCCCATCTCAGATGAACTCAACCTTAAAATAATCAGACCCAGCAGCTGACTGGGTGGGCAAAGTACTGAGAGATTCCCAGGGAATATTCCCAGTCCTACCCTGTGAGTCTGCTGGAGAGGTGTAGACCACTCTCAGGTGAGCGAGGGAACAACATTACTGTCGAACCCGCAGCCCCCATGGTGATGATAAAAGACTGTAACAGGACCGCTGGCTTAGAGGCCAAGCGCTGTGCTTCTCGCCGGCGCGTATCTTGAAGAGTCACGGAATCACCGAGCTGCATTATAAAGCTACTTGCATGAGCCGCTTCTGATTACCAGCGCCGTGGGACCGTGTGCACAGAGCCCCCCCCCCACCCCCACCCTCACCCACCTGGTTGATGTGCTTCAGTTTGTCGATGATCTGGCTGATGACTGGCTCAGGGGCCTTTTGCTTGGGTTCGGGGCTGTTCTGCTGGACACGCTTCCCTCCCGAACCAGATAGCCTGAGGCAGATGGAGGTGGACAGGCGGACAGACGGAGAAAGAGACGCATAAGACTTTCAGGAAGCACCTGCTCTTCACATCGCTGGTGGGGATAACAACTCACTGTCATTACATCAGTACCCAGTTATTACACTGCCCTTCTGTTAACTGCTAGGTGATAAATGGTGTTAAACTGCAGTTATATTGCCACCCAGTGGTGAAGTGAAGAATTTAAAGAAACCTCTGTAAAGAACTAAATCCTTTAAAAACTAAATGATGCGTCCATGACATCTTTTCAATAAGATGTTAAAAAAAAAATCCGCAGTACAGAAGTATCATTAGGCCTAGCCCGAGCCAAACCAACCCACTGGAATCCCTGATAGCTGTCCTCTATGAGACTACTGGCACGAAATCGATGAAATCTACCACGCGCCAAACAGGAACAAACAAATCACTCAGCAGAGAGGTGGGGCACTTGGCATCTCTTTCGGGTATAGCTGGGGAACGATACATCAGTGGAGGATTGTGGACATACACACACACACAGGTTTGTAATTATATCTTTGTGGGGACTCTCCATTCATTTCCATGGGGAAAACTCTAATCCCAACATGACGACCTTAACCCCTACCCAGCCCTAACCTTAACCGTAAGTAACCAAACAAAATACGAGACTTTTGTCATTTATAATTTTTTGATTGCAGTCACGGATTTTTATAAAATTTGGTCCCCAAAATGTGACGTATATCTGGACCACACACACACACACGTGCGCGCGCGCGCACACACGCATGAAGCCAACGCGCACACACTGTCAAAATGACAGCAAGATCCCGGACAGAATAACAGATTTGTCCACTGGGAGATGGGTTTAGCCTGGCGAGTGCAGGAAGTGAACATTAGGGGGCGGCATGCTGCGTGTATTTGTGTGCGTGCCGCTCCGTCGTCCCTGGGCTCCCAGACTCGGCAGGCGACTGACAACACAGGGTCCAGCCTGGGAAGCCTTCAGAGCTCTCGTTTCAGCTAATTATTCTCAATTAAAATCTAATTAGTTCTGATGCACAGAGAGGAAGAGTCAGGCTGGTGAGACAGCAGTACTCACTAACTGTATCAGTACTGTGAATCAAAGTCAAATATATGATGCGTGGAGTCATACACTTAAATATTGTTCTCAGTGGTCATAGTGCAAAGGAAAAAATAGTAATGAACAGAAAATGAATACAAAGACATATAAACATAATATAGACATGACATTTTAAAACATAGCATTAAGACACAGACAGAAAGGTACAGTTAACATTAGCACAGCAGTATTCGCTACAGTACTGATACGTATACTGGCACTCTCATAAGAAGTACTCTTACGGGAGTAAGCAGGACTCACTAACAGTATAAGTACTTCCCCTCTGACCCACAGCAGCAATGGTTTCACTATTTACAGTACTTGTGAGGACCCATCAGTATTCACTGATGGTGCCACGTGGGGGGGACAGGGGGCACTAATCGGAGGAAGGCCAAGTCTATTTTGACTAAACTGTCTTTTAACAAAAGCTGTATCTAATCTATATTCAGCATTACTCACTTTGACAGCCGCAGTAAGTACTTTTTATTGACTCTAGCACTGTATTTCCCTCTGTTGATTGTTCTACTCTTTTTAAAAGTATAAAAATGTACTTTTTTATGGCGTTGCCAAAACTTCCTGCGGCCATATCCGTAGAACACCCGCTCCACACTCCAGCAGAGAAGTAATTATATTCGCCATCGCGTCTCGCTACTCCATCAAGCGAGGTGCCTCTGCCAGTTATTTATTCGTCTTATTACTTTCACATCAGAACACCTTTCTAATGTTAATTATCGCAGTAATAGCGCGGTGACGCGCAATCAATCGAGCAGGGAGGTTAGAAATATTGATTGAACAAAAGTGACGGGGAAATAAATGAAATGTCCTTTCCCTGCTTTGTCCTTTCGCGGGCTGTCGGGGTTCGCTCCCCCATCCGAGTTCCCGCAGGCAGAGTACAGTACTGGCTGACTGTCACCACTGCTCTATATCCACGGTAATTCTTAATTTCTTCACCAGCGTTAACCTACATCGACCAAGCATCACGTTCACGGTGTCTAACGAGCCCCTGACAGAGACTGATCAGCCCCAGGTGAAATTACCTTGGATCTGGTTCATCAGACCACCCCCCCACCGGCCGAATCGAGTAGCGCCGCATCCCGGAGATCGCAGTCCGCTGCAGCTCCTTAATTCACTCTGCGTTGCAGATGTTGGCATTCATTTATTACCTGCCTGCCGCTGAATCGCGTCGGACCCCGCTGCTTATATATAATTTATGCGTCGAACATCGAGGGCACCGTTTCAAGATACGCAGAGCTTCTGCTCATCTCCCAAATCGAAGGTGAGAACAGGTGGAGATGAGGTATTTTTTTTGCATGCATTTTATAATTAAATTGGAAAATGAATAAAATCTTAATCACCCCCCTTTCCCAGTACAGAGCCGGGGCTGGAAATCGCTACCATTTTTTTTTTACAGCACAAGGCGAACAGTTTCGGAGTCCCATGTGTTGTTTTTGACCCAGATTTGGGGCAGGAACCACTACGGAAAAAAAAACACGCTGGATGCCAGTGAGATGGACTGGAAAGAGGAGAGGATGGTACAGGAGATGAAACGGGGATAGAGACAGGCAGGAGTGTAGGAGAGTTAGGCAGGAATGAAAATACATGCATAAGTGCATTACCTTAGCAAACAGCGTTATCCCTAGCAGCTGAAAACGCGAGCAGTTTGCTGTAACCCATCACAAAACTGTATCTATACTGCAATAGCTGAGCTGAGGTGGCCAGATTAAGGGTGCAAGAGCAGTTTTTGCCACATCTCACTGGCTGCTTCTGTTAAACACGCAGCCGTCTGCATGGGAAAAAGATGAGCTGTGTGTGTAGATGTGGACAGGACACACGTTACCGTAAGGTTTATGAGGATGAATCACAGCAAAATAAAAAGATAAACCCCCAAAGTCCGATTCTGCTGATGTTTAGATATGCGCCATGAATAGCAGAAGCTCCCTGCCACTCGGACGAGTCAAACGGAAGAACTGAATGCGGCCTGGATCACCGTGTCAGCAGCAGCACAGTCAGCTCTGCCCCCCTCCAGGCTACGGATGACATTGAGAGCTGTTCGGGGTGTGTGGGGGGGGGGGGGTCTCCTTCACTCTGCCCCCGTCCACTTTTATTCTCTCCGTGGTTCCTAATTAACCTGTGCTGGTCCCACCCCCCTACCCACCCACCCCCAGGGAAGCAGTAAATCATTCCTATACTCTGCTTAACTTCACTTCACTACTGAGGTGCAGCAATGCTCAAGGAGGTGAAAAGGAGAGATGCCCCCCAGTGGCAGGGTGTGGTACTGCCGCTGTCAAAGGAAGCCTCAAGTCAATAATGTCCCACGCTGGAGGTGACATTTGGACTCTTTAACATTTACCCATATAAAATCTTATGTTCTTTAAAAATCAGTTTTATACCTTCGGTCATTAATATTATAAACTGCTGTCAGTAGAAGGACTTACCTGGCTGTCATTTCTTGACCGTTCCAGCAGTGGGAGCCGTTGAGCGCCGGGGTCTCCTTGCTGCACAGTGTCTCCCCCAGGCTGCCGTAGAAGGTGTTAAAGCCCTGCAGGCTGGCGATGAATTCCCTTTGATGGAGGGGAGAAGGATAGGAAGAAGAAGAGCGAGGGAGGTGCAGAGAAAAGGAGAGAGAAAGAAGGAAAAGAACAAGGGAGGTACGGAGAAAAGTAAAAAGAAAGGAAGGAGAAAAAAAAGAGAGAAAGAAAGAGGAAGAGCGAGGGAGGTGTGGAGAAAAGAAAAGTGAAAGGAGGAGGACAAGTGAGGGAGGTGGGGACAAAAGAAGTGAATGAAAGAAGAAAAGAAAGGGAGGTGCAGAGAAAAGAAAAGTGAAAGGAGGAGGAAGAGCAAGGAGAGTTAAAGTCACAAGAGAAAATGGAGGGAAAGGGGGTGGGTGTATGGCTCAGTGGGTTTGAGCGCTCTACCTGTGACCAGAAGCTCGCTGGTTCAAATCCCAGGGTCAGTAGAGTGATTCTCACCATTGGGCCCTAAAATAAGGCTCTTAACCCCCCAAGTGTTCCAGGGACCATCTGACCCTGCTTTCCCAAATGGACGTCACTTTAGATAAAAGCATCCCATAAATAAGTGCAGGGATGTCTGCTATTTGTACAGGTATCGAGGAATAAGTTTTCGGAAATCTCATTTGCTCCTTTATATCATACCCAGAGGAGAGCAAAGCTTAGGGGTCAGAGCGCAGGGTCAGTCATTTATCTGGCATTTTTCAGGGGGGGGGGGGTTCAGGGCCTTGCTCAAGTGCCCAATGGCACTGTGACTACTCTGCCAACCACAGGATACAAACCAGCGACCTTCTGATCACAAACCTGACCTGGACATCCTGCTGAGCCACACACCATGGGGAGGAGAGCAGAAAAATGTAAAAAGCTCCAACAAAACAGGCAATTTGTAAATTTTTTTCTTTGCATGGCACAGATATGGTTTTCCTTGTGAGCCTGTTAACTTGGCACGCACAGAAACAAAACCGGTGCCAGCGAATTCAGCCCAACTAGAGCAGCAGAGAGAGCGATGTGCCCACCTCCCATGCCACCTGTCATGCCTACAAGGTCCGACGGGCAATGTGGCAAAATGTCACTGTCTCTGTACTCCCTGGTAACAGAGGAACAGGAAACCCGCGAGCCTGGCAGGGTCCCTCCTGCGTGTGTGGCCAGGTGCGTGATACTCGGCACGTAAACAATCACACGGAGTGAAGGCAGCGATCGATACCCCGCGGCCGACACCGTGTGACACGGGCCAACACGCCGGGGTCTGATTTAGCAGGATCTGGAGAGAGCTCTCCTTTCTGAAGGCAAGCGACGTCGCCAAGGAACTCGTCATATACGACTCGGTCACTAGGAAGGGGGCCAGCGGATCATCGCTTCCGGAAACACGGAAAGTCTGCCCGGTGATCACGGATCCGGGGCATTAGCGGGCAGATGCACGCCGGAGTGGGGGAGTCGCATTAAACAGCAGGCGAGCTTTTCATCCCCGGCTGGCCCGGGGCCGGCTCCCCATCCATCTGCCCCCTTGTTACCGGGCCCGTCATCCCCCCCCGAGCACGTGCAAAAGCGTCGGCCACGGGGGACGGACACAGCAGCTGCGGTCACACTTAAAGGGCTGACTTGAGCGCTCGCTCGGGGTCACGCACACACGCGGTCACAGGAACCCCCCCCCTACACGTTCGCAGCGATGCTGTAACGCTCAGAGTCGCGTTCGCGCTCAGACGCATCGACACCCGCTCCCCTCCGCGGCTCGTTAGCCTCCCTGCTGTTTCATTGTCACGTTTTCCAAGCGACGTCAGATTAAACGGCCTTTTCACAGGCAAAGCAGCTGTGTTACACAGGCTACCCCGGGAGTTTTAGCGCCTTTCAGAGGGAAAACAAATAACGGTAATAGCAGGAGGCCGTAGAAGCAGCTCTACTGTAACATGGCAACCCAGAGCCATAACCCCCGAATCCCACGAGTCACATGGGTGTTATGCGGATTTCATTAAGGGTGCTGAGGGGGCGGGGAGTCGCTCCTCATTTCTGCTCTTTCTCTTAAGCAAATTGATGCTCCATCAAATGGTGTGCCATCCTCATCACCCCCCCCCCCATACAAACCTGCGGCGGCCAGCCAGGGTCTCTTCCGGGTCAAAGGGCACGAGCTGCGGCACGTGTCGGTCAGGAGCAGGGGGGCTGCGGCCAGCAGGGGGCGATGCTGAGCGAGACACACGGTGAGTGGCGCGGGAGCACGTGGCACTCACCTGCGGAGAGTGTGTGGGGAAACACAGGAACACTCTGACACACTGATAGCGCCGCATTACACACTTAAAACGCACTTAAAACACACTTAAAACACACTGGCTCTAGATTTAGCAAAACAGAATTAAGGAGCAAATTTCCAAAACTGAATGAGTCCATTTATTTTTTTGTTGTTTCTGAGAGGAGACCGCCAATGACTTAAAGTCAGGCTTCCTCATCACATGTTTCAGTGTCGGGAACCAAAAGTCATTCAGTCCTCATGAAATCCAATGAAGAACTTTTGTTAAATTTGCAAAACTCACTACGTCCACAGAAATTTTCCCAAAAATGTGACCCGTGGACTGAGCTAGTTTTGGGAACTCGCTCTTCAATTTGGTCTTAAAACATACTGCAAAATAAATCTCACGGAGAGACACCTGTACCCATCTTGTCACCCTTCCCTGCTCTCTCTCCCTCCTCCCCTACTTGATTTTTTTTTTTAAGAGGGTGAAGATTCTCTACTGGAGATGAGGAGTCGTAGCATACATCTAAATCAGCACCCATCTCGTCTTTCCGCGTGACCCCCCCCCCACCACCAGCACAAACACGTAAATGAGCTGCAATTCGTCTTCCTTCAGACAGCTTGTATTGTTTTTCTCCAGGACGGCACAATAATAATAAAAATCACTGTGTCTCAGATAATAGAAGCGGGACACTCTTTCAGGTGCAATAAAAATGCAAATGCCTGTTAATGTTTTGCTTGCGGTTTAAGGATGTGCCTGAGGTTTAATTTCCCCTGGGGGGTTTGGATTCGTGGTTTAATTCTAACTCCAAATGTTAGTAGCTAATTGTGGCCAGTGTCCCCCTAAGTGAGCATAGTGGGGAGCTGAGTGCTGAATACTGATGTGTAATGGAACTGGGGTGGTAGTCTTCATCATCTTCATCACAAGCCGTCGTGCACATCCTCAGCCATCCAGCCGTACTGCCTCACAGGCATCTGAGCCCTGTCTCATTCCTTATTAGCCTCCAGCAGAGCGTCAGCCCTTCCTGATACTAACCTGAGTCCAAAGGGTACGAGTCTGAGAAGAGAGTCTGTCAAAAGTCTAAGATGAGAGTCTGAGAGGGGAGTCTGAGAGGGGAGTCTGACAGGAGGGTCTGAGAGGAGAATCTAACAGGAGAGTCTGACAGGAGAGTCTGAGCGGGGAGTCTGACAGGAGGGTCTGAGAGGAGAATCTAACAGGAGAGTCTGACAGGAGAGTCTAACAGGAGAGTCTAACAGGAGAGTCTGAGCGGGGAGTCTGACAGGAGAGTCTGAGAGGGGAGTCTGAGAGGGGAGTCTGACAGGAGAGTCTGACAGGAGAGTCTGACAGGAGAGTCTGAGAGGGGAGTCTGACAGGAGAGTCTGAGAGGGGAGTCTGACAGGAGAGTCTGAGAGGAGAGTCTAACAGGAGAGTCTGAGAGGGGAGTCTGACAGGAGAGTCTGAGAGGGGAGTCTGACTTTGAAAACTAATTGAGATACCATGCTAATCAGCGTCCAACCTGCACACACACAGACACACACACGCACACACACACACACACACAGTGCTTCCCCAGGGTACTGGACTGGCCGTTATGCACTGAGAGGGAGAGAGATGCAGGGAGCGGGACCCTGTTCACACTCGCTGGTTCAAATCCCAGGGTCAGTAGAGTGATTCTCACCATTGGGCCCTAAAATAAGGCTCTTAAAAGAGCACAAACAAGCAGACAGACATACACACGAGCTAACCATGCAACGTTAATAAATGATGTCCCGGGAATGTTCCGGAAAACTGGAAAGTGAAAAGTTCAGCAAAATCGCAAACAGACAGAAAGCCGCGCCACAATGGCCCCAGCGGGCAGCATAAATAATTAATTCCAGCACCCTCCCCACCCCCCCTGGCTCCTGTTCTGCGGCTTGAGCATGGCTAGAGTCGGGTTTCACTGACCTGGGAACAGATTCCCAGCATACAGGGTGTGGGAGGACACTAACACCGTGCTGTCAGTGCGAGTGTGTCAAAGGGAGAGTGCGTATAGCGCACTATGACAGACGAGCGCGCAGACTCACCGCAGCTAGCAGGCGGCTGCGCGAGGACAGCGCGTGACGCAGTGCCAGCCGCACGACCGCGTGTAGCCGCAGCATGGCGTCCTCCGCGTCCCGCTCGCTCCGCATGGCCTTCGCTAGCGCCGCCAGCCCCTCCACGTAGGCCTGCCAGTGGGGCTGCACCTGGGCTGCCCCCCCGAGGCACCCCTGCATGAGGGTGGGGCAGAGGGTGGGGCACGGTGGGGCCGAGGACAGCCCCAGACAGCGGGGGCAGAGCCAGAGGCGGAGCAGGGCACGGGCACAGTCCCGGCCGGGCCGCAGGTGCTGCGTTGTGTTCACCACCTCGATGCCCAGGTTGAGCGCCTGCAGAAAGGTGCGGGTGGCGGGCAACGAGCGCGCCAAGCGCGTCATCATCAGCTTGGGGTAGGAGCCGAAGGCCCCGGTCTGCACCCAGGCGCCACGCAGGCACTCCACCCAGACCGCTGTGGCTGTGCCGGTCCCGCCCCCTAGGAGGCGCCCGTAGGTCGCCGGGAACAGCCGACTGAAGAAGGCCGTCACCATGTCGTCCACACTGACGTCCGAGCCCATGCTGTAGAAGGAGATGTCCAGGAAGAGCTGCCCAACGGCTGTGTTGGTCCCGCCCCCAAGGCCGGGAAACTCCGCCCTCAGCATGGTCTGGGTGGAGTTATGGCCGTGGCGAAGCACCATCTCAAACGCCTCTGCGGAGAAAAGAGTGGCGAGGCGGAGATTAATCACGCGTCATTTCCTTACACTTATCAGGCCGTTTTCATCCAAACCTGCTTGCTGTGCTTCGTTCACGGTGGCTAAGGGAGGCATTTATCAGCCCCACAACAGCTGGGCTCTGAACCAGAGCTCCACAGACACAAACCCAATTCCCCAGGCTGGGTCAGTACCTGATACTCCCTTAGTGAAAGCAGGCCTCATAACTACCATAGAGAACAAACAGATTAATCGCCTTCAAGCCACTCAAAATACTAATTAGGGCAAGTGAAGTGTACAGCACACCGATAAAATCCCGCTAATTCGCACTTCTCTGCGGCAACCTGTTTGAGATTAAGGGGTTCGGGACGCTGAGTAAAGACCGCCATTAAATGCCGGCCTCCATGTGACCTTCTGAAATCGGAGAGCCGTGTTGGGAGGCTGTTGAGAATTTAAAAGAAGTGGTTAAACACTGATCTGGGGCGCCATGAACGAGCGAGGTTTGTGGCAAAAGAAAAAAAAAATAACAGACTAATCCCAGAAAAAAATGAAAATGCTTCAGTAAGTTGAATGGGGGGAAAAAACCAAAGGAGTTGAGGCAGTGATTTTAGACACGGACTCACTGGGAGCAAGAACGGCAAAGAGGTAAGGGGAGGGGCCTAGGGGTCAGAGGTCACGCTCCATCGCTAGCTCATTCATGCAGCTACTTGCGTTAGCCAGAGCGTGGCAATGGGTGCTCAGGCATCGCCACAGAGAAGCCCACATGCTCTGCCTGACCGGCGGCCAGGCGAGGGGCTTATCTCTCCGTGTCCGACAGAGCCTGGGGGCAGCCTGTCACCGGTGGCTAATCTACTGCTGTCACTGCGGGGGAAGGAGCCGGGGATCGGCGCGCGCACAAACACACACACACACACACACACACTCATATACAGCCGCAGTCCACAGCACATGCATAGTCCCCCACACAGATGTGACACACGTATAAATCCAGCTCTTAAAAATCTGACACAGATATACCCCAAACACAATCATACACTCACATAAATGAAAAATCAACACAAAAACACAGAGATACAAACATGCACAAGTAACCAGTCACCTCCTGTCAGTAGTGTAACGGTGGCCTGTTGCAGTGGCGAAAGGACTTTTGGATGCTCTAGAGAAAAACAACAGCCATTGGACTGAGGCAAGGTCCACGTGAGTCACTCAGACAGGACAGGGGGGGTGCTGCTTATAGAAGTGTGGGGAGGTGCATTCATATCCATATGCGGCGGGGTCTTGAAGGTGGGGGTGTGGTAGCAATTAGCATAACCCCACCCCACCCCACTCACAACGGCTCACCGACAGATACACACAGGCATTTCTTCATTTACTCATTAGCTCATTTCATGCAGAAACACACACAAATACACACGCATCAAGCCACACAAAGTTACCCAGGCGGATCTCAGTTCTGCCATCAGCCCATCTGAACGGCCAGGTAGGTTCCCAACAGTTGGTTCAGGGTTTGGGTCACCCCCACAAGAATTGCACCAATTTGGGCACGACTGTGGTTCCTCGATGGCTACATCAATTATAAGGCAAGGCCTGTTTGGGGGGCAGCGGGGTCCGCCAAGCATGAACCGAGAAACGGCACAAGTGGGCTTTGGATTAAATCATCATTCCAAATCAAACGAAGAACAATCGGACTTCTCGTGAATCTTACTGTTCCCTGTGGGGACAAACATTAAATAACTGTAGGTATGTGTGAGAGGAAATCAGCACAGAACCGCAGGTCCACTGAGCACAGAACCGGGCCTTCAGCATCTTATCACCCCGCAGCATCGAGGTTGACTTGGATGTTGGGTTGACACTTGTGTAGCGGCTCTGACAGGCTGTTCCTCTCCCGTTCCGTTTTCCCTCCATGTCTTTCCCTCCTCTCAGGAATTACTGCCGGAGCGTGACTTATCCCTTTATTAATTTCCATCCATCCATCATGCAGAAGCACCTTTCCAACACCGGGTCACGGTGTCAGTGTCTCCAGATACCAGCATCTGTCTATGACTGGGACGACACCTACAGTCACCGTGTCACTCAGAGCAGTGCTTCTCAAACTGGTCCCCAGGGGCTCCCAGACAGTACATCTCTGACAGGAAACTGGGAGGGAGCAAAACCATGGGCCATCTGGGGTTCCCTGAGGACTGGTACTGATTTAGAAGCTCCAATTCGCCACCAAGGAAAAGCAGGGCGGAGGCCCTTCCAAAGGCATCACCGTGCTTTGGCGTAAAGTCAGCGTGCCGTGACTCTGATACGCCGAGTAAAAATAACCAAACTAAGGAGCCATTTGAACAGGTGGGCCGCCTGCCTGCTGCCCCCCAGGCCTCCCCCACCTGCCTCCTCGGCCCCAACAGGCTCCCGTCGCACCTCCAGCAAGTGATGTGTCTCCTCACCTTTTTTAGGGTTAACATGCTGTGCCAAGTAGAGCATGCATAGGACTGTGTTTGCCATTAGGAAGGAGCCTAAGAGGTTTACACACACACACACACACGTTTGTATTCACATCTTTATGGGGACCGTCCATTCATTTCTATGGGAAAAACCCTAATCCTAACAATGGCAACCTTAACCCCAACCCAGCCCTAACCTTTAACGTAAGTAACCAAACAAAATACAAGACTTTTGGTATATTTAGTTTTTTTGACTGCAATCACAGATTCTTATAAACTTCAATTTCCTTTTGTGTGGACCTGATGGTCCCCACAAAGTCAGAATAACAGGGTTTTATCACATTGTGGGGACATTTGTTCCCCACAATGTAATGTATATCTGACCCACACACACACACACACACACACACACACAGCCTCTACTTACTGGTACACAGGCTCTATAACAGTGACAAATAAAATGTGAATAGAAGCATAAAATCAAAATAATAGAAACCGCTCGTCACCCTTCTTCCGAAGCCGCGAGTCTCACTCTCTAGCCAAGTGCCGTACTGCCGTATCACAAAGTCAGAAAAGCGAGGAATTGAGTCTCTGGTGTAGCACCGGAGAGCCACATTAATCTGCAAAAAGGCAGAGATCTGCTCCCACCCAATATGATAGTGGCCGCGCTGTTTAAAGATGTGTTGGCAAGGTTCGTTCTCAGCTTAACGGAAAACAGAAAATGTCTCTTTAAATTAGGGAAGAGAGCTGTGAACTGCACAGGGGTTTAACCGCATTCCCCGACAGCAGCGGCGGGATTTGAACCCACGCCTCCTCTGGGACCCGAGCCTAAATCCAGCGCTTTAGACCACTGAGCCGTGATATCAAAAAAATAAGAAGGGCTTTTTCAGCAGTATCTCAGCAGCTACGGCTGGATATATTTATAAAGAAAGATATGCCACATTTCGCTGTGACCCTGGACAAGGCAAAGTGTTACAAGATAATGGATGGATGGATGGATGGCCTGCTGCATTTTCTGTCATTCATTCATTCATTCATTCATTAAACAAAACTCACTGACCTATGGCAATATCACTTAAATGAGTGACTATTATTAACATGAAATTTAAAAGAATGAGACTTTAGTGAATGTTTTTACTTAGGTAGGATGGTCAGGTGGGCCGAGCCCCTTCCCCTTGCCTTGACACTCACACACACATGTGAAGCCTCACTTTTTTATTAATCTTGAAGAATTGAATGGGATCTGATACAGTTGCTGAAAATACTACTTTCACAGACGTAAGTGACACAAACCCGGTAAACAGATATCTGTCCGAAGACTGACTGGATAATGACTGTGTATCAGCCCACAACAGCTACAAATATTATGTTCTCTTTGACAAAATGATGAAAGAGGGTCCTTTATCTTGAAAAATATATATATCCAGAGTATAAAAGTGAGACATCTACCGTGGGTTGCAAAAATGTGCAGTCAGGCACTTGTTAAAACAGAAAAGTTATCACCTCACAGACAAAAGAGCGACACAATGAGTGCAGTGAGATGAAAGCGCTCCTCTGAAAGACAGAGACTGAAACCCAGACAGATTTACTAAATTTACTGATGTACTGGGTCATTACAATGTATTCTGCTTTAAGCTAACTCTCTGTCCAGAGTTCTCTTGGGATTGCATGCTTGGATGTGATTGGGCATGCTCAACTAAATGAAAGCCACGATTGGCTGCTTCCATATATGGACATCTGGCTCCTCCCTTAAAGTTAGAGCAAAGCAGAATTATAATGAGGCATTCTGGGTAACAGGATGCTGTTCCCAGGCCTATCCGTCACCAGGCCATACCCCCATTATCCCGCCCTGACGGCAATCATCAATAAATTAGCCAAGCAATGAGGTCGATCAATTTCCCTGATGGAGTGTCACCTCCAGCCTTCCGGAAAGCTGATAAAAAAATAGCAAACCCGTGCTTCTCCGGGGTAGGAAGGCGGCACATCAACCACTGCCGTGTTCACAGGGTAGCCTGCTCGCTTCAGTCATGATGTGCAGCGACTCATTGGTCAAGGTTATTCTGTGCTGTCCCATTAGACTCCTGTAATTGGCTGGTTGATGGGGTACAGGGGCTTGAGGGGGTTAGGGGGTTGGGGGGTAAGGAGTACAGGAATTCCAGGGGAGGACTGCTTTGCTGGTCACCCCCAGACATCATCAACATTGTGCAGACCTGCAGACTGGTAGATGTCCCACGTGAACTGGTCCAGGCATCTCCATGACTGTCTCAGGGGTATGTAGACCAGCATGGGCGCGGTCTATATGTATGCATACACAACCACACGCATGCATGGTTACACTTAATGCCACATGCATGCACAGTTGCCACACACATGCTCACACATCTGAATGTGCTCCAATGCACACATTGTTTTCCATACAAGTACACTTACCTTACCGATACACTCATTTTATATACATATAATAAGGTGAAAACTAGTAACAAACAAAAATATTTATTAAGAAAAAAGCCATCGGACATGAGGAAAAAGGGTTTTGTTTTACATTTTTTATATTGCAGAAGCTTTTATCCAAA